TTCTAGAAGTTACGTGTCAATACTACATAGAATATTTCCTTCAAAAACCTCAAAGCAAGCCCATCTTTTAAGGATGCCTCAGATGCTGGCAGGAGCGAAACTCAAAATGAAACCTTTTCACAAAAAGGAGAACAAGCTCTGACATATTACAAACTCAGGAAATAGCCAGGAACAGAACTCTTATCTCCCTATGTGCAGTCTTCCAATTTTAGAGTATCTATGAACAACTTTTGCCCAATTCAAGGACAGAAAAGAAGCCCCGTTCAGCTAGCTTTTTCATGTGGTTTCTCACCGTGATGCCTAAGAAGTGATAGATGTATCCACACTGCCAAACAAGCATTGTGGCTTGAATAGTAAACACATGGAACGAGAACAGATAAGGACGTTTTTGATTCTCTGTATTTTTGTAATTCCTTTCCTTACGCTACCCAAGCTTTTGGCTGGAGAATACAAACTGTGTGACAGGGTGCACAATCGTACCACCTCTGCTGCCTTTTTCATTAGAACAAACATGACTGGAAATCAAAGGAAGCACACAGCTCCACATTCTGCCCATGAGGCGCATGGTTCCTGCGTGACAAGCCGTGCTTTGTTAGAGATAAAAGTAGGAACCTCACCTGTGAGAAGCTGCTTTCTTTGGTGCAAATTCATATTCTTCTGGATACCAGCGTCTGTAAGTGGAAAGAAACCTCACTTTAAAAGGAAATTGGGATTCAGTAACATGCCCAGGGGCTGCTTTGGGTTTGTTACAATTGGTGAAAGAAGCTCAGAAGTTAAACTGGCACACAGGGAAGGCACAACCCTGTGAACCCAAGCACTACAAACACCAGAAGACCCCACTCTGAGTTGTTTATGGCTCATTCTGTCCATCAGCCTGAACAGAAGAGAGGAAGATATGAAAGAACGAGATGGCCATGCATTGCGCTGTGTGCCTGGAGCATGCTTCATCCCAGCCCTACTGCAATGATCCAGCAGCCTTCAGCCTTGTTTTAGAAAGGTGCATGTCAGTGCCACGTCGCAGGCTCCCCTAGATTATCTTCTATAGAGATATTCAATTTGGAGAATATTCACCTGCAAAGTTCTTTGACGGTGCTCACATCAATGATCCTGTAATGAAGATGCCGCATGAACTGAGGCATGTACTTGTCAAGAAACTTCTTATCTGCATGAACAGAGTTACCTACAAAGAGACAGAACAAGACACTTCTTCAAAGGCACTGCAAAGCTACTATGAGCATCTAAACTAGAAACAGGCTGAGCAAGCTTGGGAAAGATCATAGGGTATGAAAAGCTATTCACAAGCAGCTCATATATCTCATTTTCTAGCAAATATGATTGTAAAGGTTTGTCAGATTCTCATTTCAGGATCACACATGGCTTAAATACATAATCCCTATATTAATTCTTCAGTTACTACAATTTCTGTCACACAGATAAGTATCAAAGCATTACACAAGAATTGGGTTTTCCACCGAGCGAAAAGAGGCATCGGTATTAATTTCATGTAGGCAGAATCCCAAGGCCGTATGTAAACGTCCCGAGTGCAATGCCAGGTAACAGGACAGCTGGAAGGTTCGTGTTTGATACTTGGTTTGAAGGAAAGATGCTGTTCAGTTTACAGTTCAGATTTTTACAGTTGCTATCGGCCGTTAAGTTGCCCTTCCCAATTATAACTGTACAATGAATCATTAATGCTCAAAAGAACTTTCAGCTTCCTGCAGTAACGACGTGCAACGCCTGCTTTAGGGAACCCATGGAATAGATGATGCCATTACTAAACCTTTCTCCACTTGCAGATTTTGATTTGCACGCTAGATCTCTGTGCAGAAAACCAAAGCATCCCTGCCATGTGCATCAACCAGCCTTTCAGCATCCAGCTGGGAACTGCAGGAGGGATGACATTATTACTATTGTTAAGAAAGAACCCATTTTACCTGCAAGAGGACAGAGACCGGGGGGCGTCTGTTGTCGTACAAAGGACAGAAACTCATACTCCGCCTGCTGCAGTGAAATTTTACTCTCCTTCACAGCCTTAGTAAGGCCAGACTGCAAGAAAGAGCCATCCGTCAGAAACGAGACAGACATTATCTTCACAGATATTTCTAGAAATGCTCAGCAGCAAAAGATCAGGCAGACGTGCGCTGCTTGCTCCCAGCACGGCCGGATGAGGTAAGAGGACAAATTCACTTTGTTTTGATAATATTCTGGCAGGTCCGATGGCCTTTGTTCACTCTGGATATCTTTAGGGCACCTCTTCAAGACGTGCAAACCATCACAAGTGAAGGTGACCACAGAACTTTCTTAATGACAGCGACGTTCCTCTGAGTTTCCTCTCTGTTGCTGAACTTTCTGGGGTGTTACTCTCAATTACTGAGCCATTATGCAAGCCTCATTTACACCTGCATGTACATGATCCAGGAGAGTATTATATTTCTGCCTAACGAGAGGCATTCGCCTCCCCAGCATAGAGCAGTATGTATAAATAAACAGAAATAATCAGAATCCTGGCTTAAGTGTTTATCAAGATTCCTATAAATCAGAAAAGCTCCTTGCTGCTTTTTTTTTCTTTTTTTTTTTTTTTCCAATAGTTAAATGTCAAATCTGCTCTAAGTGTTCTCAGTGATTTATTTCCATCTGGCTATGCTATATATTTCCGTGACTGTGCCGCAAAAATCTACTTGACAGATCCAAGTGGTGGTTAAAAAATTCATTATGTGGCTGCATTTTCATCTATATTCTAATTGCTTCTCTTTTCTTAGTCAATTAAAAATAAGTAGCTCCTCAGGAGCAGCGATAACGTACGCTACCATCTTCAATTCACTTGTGAGCTGAAGTTGAGTTTGTGTCCTCAACTGCAGAAGGGGAAAAGCTCCCATCACAGTAAATTAATATTCATTTTCCAAACCCTTGCTAATCCTTCCTAGGGAGAGTAAGATGCTAAAGGGGGGAGGGGGGAGGGGTTGTGAGTGTCTTAAAACTTCAGCACTTAATTGAAAACTGCCTTGAATTTAAATTTGTAATCAAGGATTTGAAAATCCATTCACTTTCTTGCTAAGGGCAAGGAAGAAGTTTTCCTTGGTGACTAAAAGAACCAAAAAATAATCTATTCTTGCAAAAGTTAAGTTTTCAGTGGAAAGAAAAAAAAAAAACAACTAGGCTTACAACGCTGAGGGGGACAGGCAAAAACACAGTTAATCAGTCTGTTTAGTTATACAAGTGCCTTAATTTTCACTGATAAGTTTGCTTTTTGCCAGCTCTGGACTATTCTTTGCCAACTTTGTAGCTACTGTTAGCTGGGGCTTTGCAGCAGGTCCTGCTCTTCTCTGTAAGAGCTGTTCTGTGCTTATTTCACGCCATGCAGAGGAGGTCTGACAGGAGGGACTGGCTGAGGAGTTGCAGGGAACTGAATCCAACTTAATCGCATGCTGAGGGCCACAATGCTTTGAATGTGGCAATTAGCAGCGGGCATGAGAGAGCTGGATCCTATTCACAGAGCCGCCCAGGCTTATCTCACCCTGTCTGCAGCTTTCTGTGTGCTGTTGCTCTGTCCCTCTCCTGGATCCATTCGCTGCCTGTTGTCCTTTGCTGATGATTCTCAAGTTAGAAAGCAGCTTTGAGCACTATTCAGACTTATAATCACAGAATGGTTTGGGTTGGAAGGGAGCCTCAAGGGCTGCCTGGTGCCGCTCCCTGCAGCGCACAGGGACACCCACAGCTCAGCAGTGCTCACAGCCCCGTCCAGCCTGACCTTGGCTGTCTGCAGGGACGGGGCACCACCGCCTCTCTGGGCAACCTGTGCCAGCGCCTCACTGCCCTCACTGCCAAACCTTCCTTATCTCCAATCTAAATCTCCCCTCCTTCAGTTAGAAACCATTTCCTTTCGTCCTGCCACAACAGACCCTGTCAGAGAGCCTGTCCCCTTCTTTAGCAATAAGCCCGGATGCCAACCCCACAACCAAGCAGTTCCCAGCGTTACAGACACACAAACACGGCTGCAGCGTACCCTGAGCGACACGTGGGACTGCGGGAACAGCCTCACAGCGCGGCCCTTGGGCTCAGAACAGCTCTTCTCCCCCTGCAGCTGAGATCGCCACGAGCCATAACTCCGACCTGCGCCGTTCCCCGGCCGTACCTTGCCGTGGTGCTCCTTGCACCACTCGGACATGCCGTCCAGCAGCTCGTCGGGCTGTTTGATGATCAGATTGGGGCCCTGCGGGGAAGAAAACGGCGACGCTCAGCGGATCCCATCCTGAGGATCGCCGCCCTGGGGACGCCGAGGCTCCCCGGACCCGGCCGCGCTTACCTCGGCCAGCACGTTGAGGTCGGAGTCGGTGATGAGGCAGGCCATCTCCAGGATCTGGTCCTTCTCCACGTCCAGGCCCGTCATCTGCCACACAGCGGAGCGGCACCGTCATCGCGGCCTCCCTCCCCCTCCGCGGGCCGCCCCGCCGCCCTCCCCTCGACCCCCTCGCCCCCTACCCCGGCACGCCCCGCACCTCCAGGTCCACCCAGACCATTCGCTGCCCCATGCCGCCGCCTCCGGCCATGGCCGCCGCCCGCCGCCGGCCCCGCCACAGCCGCCCGGCGCAGCTCCGCAGGCGACCGAGGCCACCGCGGCTGCCGCCGAGCATCGCGGCCAGGCCGCAAAGCGCCGCCGCCGCACTACATTTCCCGGCATGCCCCACGGCGGCGGCCCCAGGGCGAGAGCGGGGGGAGAGCGCAAGGGCCGCTGGGAGACGTAGTTTGGGCCGCGGGGAGCGCCGGGAGCAGCGGGCGGGGCGCGACGCGGGACCTCCCTCAGGGTACCGGGGGCGGCTTAAAATCTTGTTTGCTTCTACCCTTAGGGAAATGCGTGAGGCTGCAGCTGGTTCCTGCGTGGCTGCAGTCAGACCAAACCGGCTCCGATTCCCAGCCACCAAGGGGACTTTTCGTGAAGGAATTACACCATCAAAGGATAAAACGCAGGTGAGTCGAATGAACGAAACCAGACTGACACAGCATTAAAAGGAGTATGGTTTATCCACAGGGAGACTTGGTAGGATTCTTCTCCAAGACGAGGGGTATACAAAAGGAATCATTTCTGTATCAAAACACGCTGAGATGCCACAAAGCATCGTACCACTTAAAATCTGTTTAAAAAGATGTGCAGCTACACCTGGAACAGAGAGGCCTCCCTCAGCTGCACTACAAAAATACACAGACTCTTTATAATGCACGATGCTTTCTCTGAAACTGTGGCACATTTGTTTTCTTGCATAAAGCCCTGAGGTGTAGAGTTCACACGTTTAAAATCAAGCTGCTAGGTTTGGAGGATTACGACGTCACTAGATTTACAAATGTTAAAAGGGAACTTTGATTTATCTTTCTTTTGCATAAAGTTCTTTAAAGCCCACGTGTCAGTGCCGCGTCAAGCGCCAGCTGCCCTCTCGGTAGCTCTCTCTTCTGCTGTCGTAATCGTGGCTCCATGCACTGCGATTCCTATCGTCGTAGAATGGCTCATCTCTGCTCCCTCGGTAATGGTGCTCAGAGATGTGCCCTCTGTCTTCATAGCCATCCCTTTTACCCCTGCCATAGTCAGGCCCCCGGTCCCCTGCACGCTGTTCTCGGCCCAAATGCCTGTTGTCTGGGTAGTAGGGGTGGGAGCCCATCCTGTTTTTGCGCAGCACTGCAATGTCCGGACGCCGCAGCATGTGGGAGGCTGATGGGTGAGCGAGGGAATGGCCGTGCTGGTACCCAGGCACAGCAAAGCCAGGCTGAGACTGCTGCCACGCAGCGCCGTGCATCTGAAAAACAGAAGGAAAAAGGCCCGGTGGATTGAATGTGCTTTCCTGCTGGCAGGGCGCTCAAATTATTCTACGGCACATTTCATACTCCTCTGTCAGCCTCTTTGACGTTAATCAAGCTGCAAATGCAAGGGAAAATGGAAATGCACCAACAAAAGGAGACTGAACACAGACTGGCTGCTACTGACTGCTTTATCTGCAGCTCAACTTGTAAAGCCCAAAGACTGCCCCAGTGTTAAACAGCTCAGCAGAAGGAACCGTCTATCTTCTGCAATTGTCAGTTGAACACTCCAACAATATGTTCCTGCGATTTAATACAATAATTACAGGAAACATCTGAGTACTGAAAAGTGGCAACAACTCCTCTGCATGTCATCATCCATCAGCTCTGAGTGACTGCAGGGTTAGACACCATGAACAGAAGAGCACAGCTTACCCCTGCTTGTCTCTGAAGGTTGTCATGAGGTGGCAAAGACCTCTGCATAGATGAGAACCCTGCTGCTACCATACCATCAGTATTCCTGTCGTGTCTGCAGAAAAAAAGATAAGGAAAGTTAGTCTTAAATGTTTCTAACACGAGACTATGGCCAGTCTAAGGGGCATTAGCAGTGTAGTCGCGTTGCTACCATTAGGATAAAGAAAAATAGATACCCTTAACTAATGTTGTGAGAAAGTGCAGACAGGCTTGCACAGGGTATGAGGCAGCACTCGCTTCACATCACCAGATCTTTTCTATGCTTGTATGAAAACACCTTTTAATAAGAAATGTCACTTGGGCCAGAAGCACTGGTGAAACAGATCTTCTGAAAAAAAACACTTTCAAGATGATGCCGTTCTTTTTTGCATTGGGTTTTTAGGTACCAATAATGTAGGGTGCTGAGGGTAACAACAATGCAAGTACTTAATCTACAGGGAAGAAAGGCTGAATTGTGCTTGGAATGAGAATCAGGAAAGCTAAATGTGTGAATACGTTTTCCAGCTTCAACGATGCAAGTGTACTACTGGTGCAGCCTCATACCTGCTGGCTGGATGTGGTGTGCCAGAAGGGCCCAGGCTGGCTGCTCCATGTGGCAAACATGACGAATTACTGTCCTGAGATGCGTGGCTGCTCCCTGAGGAGAAACGTGAGATCCGCAAACACAGGTTGGAGCAAATTGGATAGGAAACGAACTTGTAAGATGCTAATTATTTCCACGTGATTAATTAGCTCTTAAGTATCATCAGCAATCTGCAAAAGTACATAACCCAGCTTCCAAAACAAGATACCATAAACTGCCTTAATGCCCAGCTGGGGAAGCTGCAATCAGGCTGTGCAGTTCTGGTCAACATGCCTCTCTTTACCTGAGTCAGATGCAGAGATTAGCACTAGCATGATAATTCAGAAGGGCCTTCAAGGGTACAGAAAATAATCAAAATCAAAGAAAAGCCTCAGCTTGGGCACTGCCCATGCCCAAAACTGGCAGACAGATCCCCCGCTAAAGCACAAGGATAAAAGCACAACCCTATGTGACAGCACTGCTCTACAGCATCACCAGGGAGCAGGTGAGCAACACTGCGACAGAAGCACAAGCAACAGCTGCTATAAGCCAATAACTGTAACTCTGCCAGATCAGGAGGAAGGAAGGAGGTGGCAGTTTTCTTTCCATCTAGCAACAGGGCTACTGAATGCTTCTGTGTACCTGAGCGGAACTGGATGTTGATGGGCCGTCCATAGAGCTTGATCCCATTAAGGAGATTCATTCCATATGGGACAGATTCTTCATGCTTGAAACTCACAAATGCAAATTGCTTTTGTTTACCATCTTTATCTTTAGGGATCTTAACTTTAATTACCGGGCCTGCCTGTGAATTATAAAGCAAAGCAATGTTAAAGGACAAATCAAGCAGCTTCCCGACAAGGAAAACCTAAACGAAGTGGCATGTAATGGAGCAGCAGGAGAGATCCCACCAATGCACCAGGTGATATCTGACTCACAGAATAGCTCAGGTTGGAGATCATCTGGTCCCAACCCCCGGCCGTGGGCAGGGCTGCCCCCCACCAGCTCAGGCAGCCCAGGGTCCCATCCCACCTGGCCCTGAGTGCCTGCAGGGATGGGGCACCCACAGCTCTCTGGGCAGCAGTGCCAGTGCCTCACCGCCCTGTTCTGGTATTCCTCTGGATGACATCCCTTCCTTGCATCGTATCACTGGCACCACTCAGCTCGGTGTCACCAGCAAACTGCTGAGGGTGCACTCGATCCCACTGTTTGTTTTGGACCGCCACGGTGACGTCTGTGGCCGCACATGAGATGCGGAGCCCACGCGGGGGCGCTGCTTCGTACTCGGCAGAAATTTGTCCTTCCGCAGCCACCGTACGCAGCCAGGGCCCGCCCCGCTATGGCGCCGGGAGGCCGCCCGTCCGGCCCCGCCCCGCCCGCCTGAGTATAAAGCGCAGCGGGCGGCATGCCCTACCTGATGGAACAGCTCGAAGATCAGCTCCTCGGTGACCTTGGGGTCCAGGTTCCCTACGAACAGCGTCCGGTCCGCCTCGGCGGCTGTTCCCCCCATTCCGCGGCCGAGCCGCCCGCGCTCAACGGGGCCGCCGTTTGCTCCTGCGCAGGCGCCGAAGGAAGCGAGGTCACGTGGTGAACGCGTGCGCGTACCGCCTACTTCCGGCGGCCCGGGCGGAAGTAGCGGGCGGGGTGGGGGTGGCTGTGGCAGCGTGGTGTGAGGTGGGTTGTTTCTCAGGAAGCAGCAGGGCAGCGCGCTGTGAGCTCGCAGTCTGGCCGAGGGCCGGGTAGCCGTGGCCTGGTGGTGTGTGGGCTGAAGCGCTTTTCATGAAGAAAGGCTGAGGGAGCTGTAGTTATTTAGCTTGGAGAAGGGAAGGCTGTGGAGAGTCCTCGTCGTGGCCTACTGGTGCCTAAAGGGAGCTGCTAAGCAGGAGGAGAGTGAGGTTTTTACATAGGCAGATAGTGTTAGGACAGGAGGGAATGACTTTCAACTAAAAGAGGGGAGGTTTGGGTTAGATGTAAGGAAAGGATTTTTTCAGGGCAGCGAGGTGCTGGCACTGCGGCCCAGAGAACTGTGCGTGCCCCATCCCTGCAGGCACTCAGTGCTAGGTGGGATGGGGCCCTGGGCTGCCTGAGCTGGTGGGGGATAATGAGCCCACAGCAGGAGGTGGGGATGAAGGGATCTTGAGCCCTTCTATGACCTTGCCCTTGTTCTATGAGTGGTGGTTGCTTAGCTGCATGAGCAAGTTGCTGCTGCAGCTTCAGGAGCAGGCAGTGCACTCAGTGAAGCTGCTCAGTGCAGTAGGGGAGGCTCCTGGAGCCCTCACTGATGACGGCAGCTGCCAGCTGGTAGCTTGAGCACAGTGGAGCCAACTGCGGCAGGTCATTTCCATGCTAATATAAGGGGCCTTCAAATAAATATCAGATGGTTCTGATTAAACATCCCAGTTTAAAAACTGGGATACAGATTTTTAAGATTAACTAAATGGGTGGCATACAGGTGCAGGAAAGCTTGGAATGAGTCTTGATTCCTGGAGGGTTGAGAAACTGTGATGGGAAGCTTTGTGTGTCTTGTCCTTGTGTTCTCAGCCTTTTCTTTTTACAGGTTGCTACTTTGAGAGCTCACCTGCAAGCAGTAGGATGAACTTCTTAGAACTTTTCAGTGCGACTACAAATAGCTGTTGTGAAGCCAAGCCTCCAGGATGGAGGATAGTTGTTTTTTGTTTTCTTCTCTTTAATAATAATAAAAGGAGAAAAACCTCACAGCGTTGATTGGAGAACTGAGCACTTCATTTCTTCATTCTGTTTTATTGCTGCAATACTCTGTCTGATAGCCTCTACCATCCCAAGTACTGCCTCTTGTAATGACACTAACCTAGGCAGGCTGCTTTGTATTCCTTCTTTAAGCAGCTGCATTACACTTTAATGTGAAGATGAAACTTCTGGTTTTATGTTTGAGCAGAGTTCTGGACAGTTATCTTTCAAGTAATGTACTTCTCCAGTGTTTTCCCATGTTGCCTGATTGTATGGTAAGTACAGTTCTCAGCAACTGTAATCTCTTGAATATTTTAGAATATGCTGGATGTAAAACAAGGATATTTTCCATCTGGGAAAAAAATGCCAAAAGGGGAAGTTCTGCATTCATTTTTCATTAGATTTCAATGCATTATGGCATATCCTATTTTCTTGTTAATTGGACCCTGTTCATTTTCTTCAGTTCATTACTTACTACCGCACCTAGAATTTATATTCATTTGGTTTAATCGTGTTCGCCTGGTTAAATTCTAAACAGTTACTCATTCAGAAAGGAAATTATTACCCTACTCTGCCAGGACTTCCACTTTGGCTTAATTTCCCTGGAGCCTCATTTACTTTCTTCTGTGTTGTTTTTTTTTCTTTACTGGGTCCCCTTGGGTTTGGCTGGAATTGTTTGACAGCTTTACCATCATTAGCTTTCTACACATGGGTTGGGCATCTCCAAATGGGTGCTGCTGTTCTGCACTTGCTGCTGTGCTCAACTTACCAAGTTGAAAGCTGTGGGATGTGGTGATGGACACCTGCTTGCTTGTGGCAGTCTTGCATGGCCTCTACTTGAAAAAATACCCTACAAGAGAAACTGTTTCAAATTTTGCACATGTTTTTCCTAGCGCTGTTTGTAACCTTGCCTTCCACTGCCTGACACTTAAGAATCATACAATGGCCTGGGTTGAAAAGGACCACAATAATCATCTTGTTCCAACCCCCTGCTACATGCAGGGTCACCAACCACCAGCCCAGGCTGCTCAGAGCCACATCCAGCATTCCTGAAAGCTTCCAGGGATGGGGCATCCACAACCTCCTTGGGCAAGCTGTTTCAATGCATCACAAGAAGAGCAAGCAGTTCTCAAATCGCTGCTTTTTCTCCTGGGCGATGTCATTTCCTCTTCCCAGCTCACAGGCTGAAAAAGAAGCATGGCTGCTTACTGGCCTCACTTACAGGTTGTTGTTTTTGGCTACAGATCCCTGAGCTTCCCTTCTAGCAAGGCACGGGGCTCCAGCAGTGTCAGGCAGTTCACGAACCCATGGTCTGTCTGTCCTACGCCTGCAGTGCAGCCTCAGAGCTGATTGCACGTTGGCAGAGCCTTCCCTCTCGCCTGATTGCACACGTTTCTGGGTTATTCAGCTGCCTCGATGACTTCTCCGTGCAGATGACAATCTTTTTTCACTGCCATGGTAATGGGGCTGCTCAATTGAAAGTAGATGCTTGAAAATTCTCCATGCCCTGCTATCCTGCTAGAAAGCGGGTGCCTGTAATTACACCAAATGATAGAGAGATCAGTCAGACAAAGCCATCGCAGATGACAATTCTTTCACTGGAGAGCCTAAAAGAATGGGTCACACCAGCTAATACAATAACAGCACACCTTATCCCTACATGCAATTTTCATTAGGGCCATTGAACACCTGTGACTGACACACGTACAAAGAGAGGGCGAGAAGCAGAAAGAATAGCAGCTTCAAGCTGAATAAACTGAGCTGTAGCTGGGCTGCCACCTCTTTCAGCATCCTTTCTCACCCTTTTACGCCGGCAGTGCTGTGTTCAATCTGAAACTGCCTGCACTGCTTCCACCTGCATTGCTTCCACCAGCACCTGCCAGGGATGCTCCAGCTGCTGATGCTGTGCTTTTTGCCAGAGAGAGCAAAAGGCAAGCAGGATGCCCCAGCTTGCTGGCTGGGAAAGACTTTCAATTACTCCTGACAGGTTGCAACAGAAGGGTAATTGTAGCTACAAACTTCCCCATGAAGGGAATCATTGTGCTTTTTAAACAGACCATAAAAATCTCCAGCGATGCTGATGTTCAAACAGTTAAACAGCGATTAAAGGCACCCGCGCTACAAGACCTGGCCATGTTATTTGCAGAGAACATGTCAGCAGCTGCTGGATCCCTGCATTTACTGCGCCTCTGTGACAGCCACAAAGGTCTTTATAGAAACAATTATGTTATGCTCAGCATTAAGTGCTGAGTGTCAGAGAGGTTCTGAGCTCTCCAGCGCAGCGCAAAGCCTGCACTGGTGCAAACATTACAGCACAGCCCTTAGGAGCTCCTCTGGGGCTTTTTATGAAGTTCTTACCAAGAAAATGAGAGGAAACCCAGCGGAGGTGGACAAAACCCTCTGTTTCCTCCCTGATCTTGTGTCACATGAAGCCTTTACGATACTCGCAATCTTTGACTCATTTCAGCCTTTCAGCATCTTCATGTGCTATCGCTCTTATTTGATGCTGGATTGTTCTGGCAGAAATAGATTTGCGAAGGGCCTCTTTTTGTAGAGATCCAGTGAGAACATTCTCAAAATCTGCGTCGCTTTCACAGCTTCTCTTTTACAACCCAATTTTCCCCCCTAAGAAATAAACTTGCTGCATTTCACTCTCATTCACGACCAGTATAACCCCATGACCAATATCCCTATGTGTGAAGGCATTCAAGGCCAGGCTGGATGTGGCTCTGGGCAGCCTGGACTGGTGGTTGACCCTGCACATAGCAGGGGGATGAAACCAGATGATCATTGCAATCCTTTCCAACCCAGGCCTTTCCACAATTCTGTGTGTTTTCTGTTGCTCTCTCCATTTTTTTCTTTTCCCCCACTGTTTTACTTCTTCCATAACACTTCCTATTGCAATTCCATCAGCAGCCCCTGAGCCACACAGTCCCCTTTACAAATGACTCCAATTAATGACAATCCCTGGGAGCACGTTGCATGTCCATGGCTTTACAGTAATTGACAGCAATAAAGCATTACAGTGTGAATCAGCACAGCTGACTCCTACATCTTTGTAAACAGTGTTAGAGCATCCGAATGTACCTTAATAGCATAACCAAGTCATATGAGATGATAAGCATGGAGAAAAGAAGGCTGCAGGGTGACTTCATTGCAGCCTTTCAGTACCTAAAGGGAGCCTACAAACAGGAGGGGAATCAACTCTCTGGAGGGGTAGATAACAGCAGGATAAGGGGAAATGTTGAGGGAGGGAAGATTTAGGTTGGATGTAGGGGAAGTTCTTAACTATGAGAGTGGTGAGGTGCTGGAACAGCTGCCCAGAAAGGCTGTGGATGCCCTCGTGATTCTGTGATTCTGCAATAAGGAAGTTTTAAGGCCATTCAAAGCCCTGGCAGAGGGTTGCTGTATTCTCAGCTGTAGGAAGGATGAGGAATCACTTCTCAGAATCAATCTATGAAGTTGGAAAACACCTCTCAGATCCCCAAACCCACCCCCACCATGCTCACTGACCGCAGCCCCGAGTGGCACATCCCCACATTTCCTGAACACATCCAGGAATGGGTGACCCCACCGCCTCCCTGGGGAGCCTGTTTCAAGGCCCGACAGCTCTTTCAGAGAACAAATCGGTCCAGACACCCAACCCCACCCTCCCGTGGAGCCACTCGGGGCCGTCACCTTCTTCACCCGGTGCCGCACATCTCCGCGCTCCTCGCCGTTCGCTGTTGCGGCCGCGCGGTGTCAGCATCGCCCCGCGCCGCATCCATCGGAACCCGCGCCGGCGTTCGGCTTTGCAACGCAGACGTACCTGGGAACCCTCAGGCCGAAGGATCCCGAGGTGACTTCGCCCCATAAACCCTGCTTCTCACAACC